CAGCAACAAAGCCCAGTTCTACACTGCAATGTGTAGTTTATGCTTGCTCAGCTTCACCAGTATGAGAGTGAAACAACCACCACTGAGAATTACACCTGCTGTATGATACCAGGTCTCTCTGATCAATTCTTATGCCTTTCTCCTTTCCCTTCTGTAGGATAAATGAGGAAAATTACTTTCTTTCCATTGTATCTGAAGTAGTGAGCTCTGACTCACAAAAACTCATGCTGTAATAAAAGTCCGTTAGTCCTTAAGGTGCTACCCAAGGGACTTTTGTTATCTACGACAAACGAACAGACTTCCTGCAATATTCAGCTTATTCTTTGCCCCTTTATTCTAGAAAGGACTTTAAACACTCTGACACCCTCTAGTGACAAAAGCAGCAATCTGTTCTAAATTACAGGCACATGGAGAATGAAGCCTATGTTGGTATTCTCAAGCCACTCACTAAGATCTACAAAAATGGAACACGTTTATTCTAGGTTAGTTCATCTGGAACTATTACCACCCTCTTGATCATTATTCATGACCATTCACAATTTTTAGTGAATTAGAATTAAACCATTTGCACCATAAGTGGTCGAGGGAAGGTGCCTTGGTTTAGTGACTTGTTTATAATAGTCATCATGGGCTCATTTATGTAGTACTTACGTGATTTTAGCAGACAGGGTGGGTAAGGGCCCAGTTGTGTATCCTCTAGAAGCAGTGTTGCATTGATTTCAAGACTATCTCATACAAGCCATTCGATAATTTAACATGCTTAAGGAAACAATCCTGAGCAGCTGTATTTAGAAGAAAGCTCTATTCCATTCAATCTGCACTGTGTGAATTTGGTTTTATCTACTGCTTCAGTTAAGCAAACTCAGGAGCACGATGGAAGACAGGAGGGCCTGGCGTGAGTGATGTGGACCATGGGGTCGCAAAGAATCGGACTCGACTGTCCGACTGAACAACAACACTGCTTCAGTTATCCCTTTCTGGATCCCAAATTTTTTTTTGAAAACCTCAGCAATAAAAATTACAAACAGTTCCATTCCTTACAATCTAGCTTGTTTGTCTTATCTGTACAATGAGGCTGGCTGTTTAACTCTTACTCTGATAAGCCCATACAATAGAGATAGGAAAAAGCCCTAGAGCATCACAGTATCACCACTTCCTGGTTCCAGGCAGAAGTGATATTGTGGCATTGAGTGACATGGTTTCCTCCTCCTGCTCCACTGAGTGCCAGCATAGGACTGGCTATCCATCTGTTTCCAGGCACAGTTCAAAGTGCTGGTTCTTACCCTTAAGGCCCTAAATGGTGTGGGGCACTGTCTTCTCCAGTACCATCCAACTTGCCAGTTATTCCTGCCTCTCAAGCCTTGCTTTCTGGGGCCCCACCTTAGGCTTACCAGTCCCCAGGTCAGGGCGGGGTTCTCTTGCTTTTTGGGGCTTCAGCCCACCGTTGGCCAGCTGGCTGGCATGAGAAACCCCGCCCCAAAACAGGGGCTCCCAGCGCAACATCCCTGATGTTATGATGTCACCTGGAAGTGACATCATCACATTGGGGATGTGGGCAAAACTCTATGGTAAATCTGCCTACAAACCATAGAGTTTTCCCTCAAACTAGAGCATTGCCAGCGCGATGAAATCACTTCTGGGTGATATCATAGCATTGGGGATGTCCCAGAACGCCCTCAAATCCCCCCACCAGAGTGACGAGGGGGACTTGGCAACTTTACTCCACCTTCAGAGGGAGGAGGCTGATGGCTAGAGATGGCATTTTCTGTGGTGGCACCTCACCTTTGGAATGCCATCCCTCTTCAAGCTTGCATATTTTACTGTCTTTTAGATAACCAGGTCAAAACACATCTTTTTACTCCAGATTTTAATTAGGGGTTTCATCTTTCCAGCTTTTGTAATGGTCTGAGGTCTGTTTTATGGATAGTCCTATGCTGTTTATGTCCTCTGGCTTGTTGTTTTTATATCGATAGCTTATTATTTTATTTTAATTGTAAGCCACCTTGAGCAGGACTAGGGTTGCCAGGTCCTACCTGCGATCTGGCAGGGGGCTCCCTCATCTGGACCATGATCTTCAGCCACGTGTGCAAAACACGCGGGGTGTGATGACATCACCCAGAATTGACATCATCACATTGCTGCCGTGGGGGTGACACTCTAGTTTTTGGGCAAAACTCTATAGTTTTTTGCCTTCAAAACCATAGATTTTGCCCAAAAACTAGAGTGCCACCCCCCTGATGTCAGTGATGCGATGATGTCACTTCTGGGTGACGTCATTGTGTCAAGGACGTCGCCCAATGATGTCCCTGTTTGGGAGTGGGGCTTCCCCTGCCAGCAGATCGAAGCTCTGAAAATTGGCGGAACCCCCACCCGGACTGGGGGTCTGGCAACCCTAAGAAGAACTCTGATGAGGCGGCATTGAAATCTCCTAAATAAGACAATAATAAATCCTTGGGGCTGCCCTTGAAAATGACTCAAAAGCTTCAGCTGGTGAATAATTTGACAAAGCATTTGCTTTGGGGTTCAGTTCAAGCAACTGGTTATTATCTTTAAAGCCCTTCATGACCTGAGGCCCATATGCTTTCAGGACCACCTCCTGGTATAGACCTCTGCAGACATCAAGGTCAACCCAGAAATCCCTACTGAATCATTCCTCCTTTCTGGACAGCTTGTTTAGTCTCAACCAGAAAGTAGGCATTTCTGTTGCTGTTGCCTATTGTAGAATACCCTCTCTGACACTGTGCAACAGATCCCCGTCCCCTTGGATTTTTAAAAAGCCTGTAAGATATGGCTTCTTCAGAAAATATTTGCTGATGGCTTGGGGTTACTGATAAAGTGGATGTGGGTGTAATTTTTTTTGTAGTAAATGTTCCTTTTATAACTTGTGTATTGTAAAAAAAAATGGTGAGCCACCCTGAGCTTTTGAAAAAGCAGGATTTAAATATTCCTAATAAATAAACAAGCAATAAATATGTAATGCCCCCTCAAAAAACATAGGACCACTGTCCCTCTACATTCACAGCATACATTGGGTGAGAATTATTGACAGTCTCTTCTCTGGAAATATTTGCAGCTGCATACACTGTCCATCACACAAGATAACGGCAATATTAGCCAAGGAGATGACTTGTTTACATCTAACAGCCTTCACAGATCAGTAATTTTAATTCACATCCACACAGGTAATAGTTTTTACTATGGCAGTTCAGATTTTCAGGTGTCATCAAATGGTGCAATACTAGAGGTATGACATTTCTGAAAAATTTTAAGGTATGGGGGAAAAATGCGCTCTCCCTCTAAATTCTCCTGGTTCTCCCCCCCAGGCCTTCACATCTCTTCATACCAAGTGATGTGCAAGTGCATCAGTCAGCCCCAAGGCTGGGTATAAAAGAGTTTCAAAAAGCCAAGGCACACAATACAGCAGTTTTGCTGAAATTAAGTGGGTCTTGTTACCTACATGGGAAATCCTCTTGGGAACCCTATTTATGCTGCCTTGGATTCCACAATGGAAGAAAGGTGATATATGAATGTAACCAATAAAAACCAAATAAGTGGTAAGAGAATTGTGGCAGCTGTTTATATGGATGTAAAAATTCGACTTTGGGATTTGTCAGTCATGATGCCACACACATTTTATATGAGTGCTTCCACATGCATTAAAAAGTCAAACTAGAAAAATAGAAACTCTTTTATTTTTATAAGCTTATGACTCGGCCAAAGCCTCAGTCTTATGCACACTTACTTAGAAACAAGTCCCACTTACATTACTTAGACTGACTCCTGAGTAAATAGTTTTTGAGTGGTTTTTGCCGGTCAAGTCACAGCTGACTTATGGCGATCCTGTAGGGTTTTCAGAGGTGGTTTGCCATTACCTGCCTCTGTGTCTCGACCCTGGTATTCCTCGGTGGCCTCCCATCAAAATACTAACCAGGGCCAACCCACCCTATTTAGCTTCTAAAATCTGATGAGATTGGGCTAGCCTGGGCTATGACAAGGTAACTTATAACTGGAGAAACATGATTGTATGATTTTGACATTTATCAGGGTGTTCTTCAGGCATAGTAATTCACCCAGCATTCAAATAAGTTAACAGAAGCTGTAATAGACATTTCATCAGTTACTTTGTCATTTACTTTGTCATTTGAAGAACTTCAAAAGGTCTTGAAGCATGAAGCTTCCAGTCAACTGTTGAGCCAACGGAGATACTACTTTAACATATCCTGTCTGGTTCAGGTGGGTAGCCATGTTGGTATGAAGCAACAGAACAAAGTTTGAATCCAGTGGCACCTTTAAGACCAACAAAGTTTAATTCTGGGTATAAGCTTTTGTGTGCATGCATACTTCTTCGTTTACTACCTTTTTTGTGGCAGGGCCCTAAGATTCTGTAATGACTGGATAATTTTAAAGTGATGCAACAGATGTAGTCCCCCCCCCCAAGCAATAAGTGATAAGGAAGCTTCCCCCCACTGAGTTCTGCACGTCATGTAGAGGTTAAACCAGCCAGAGAAAAGGTAGCCCAACACAGTCTGCAAAACCAGCTGACAGGATTACATAGGGTTGCCACCGGTGGAGGATGAGGGGGAAGGGTTGCCACTTGCCAGATCTAGGCAGGGAAACTCCTGGAGATTTTGGGATGGAGCTTGGAGAGAACAGGGACCTCAGTGGGATATAATGACATAGAGTCCACCCTCCAGAGCAATTATTTTCTCCAGGAGACTGGATCGCTGTATTCTGGAGATGAACTGTAATTCCAGGGAATCCCCAGGTCGTACATGGAGGCTGGCATCCCTAGGACTACAACACCTTGAGCTGCTTTTCTATTTAATATTATTATTATTATTATCATCCTTATTATTATCATTAATTATTATCATTATTATTACCAGCCTGACATTTAACACAACCAAAGCTGGGCCCCGAGAATATTCATCCTGTGTTTCTTCCAGAACCCCCTGCAAGAGCTAACTTGGCAAACTCTACCACGTGCTGCTGGTACTTACGGACACACTGCAGACGCTTCTTGTACATGCCCCAGATAAACTCCCCGCACAAGTCGCACCAGGTCGGCTGATTCTGGGTGCAAGGCTTGAAGATGTGCCCCTCGCCCAGCTCCTCGGTCAGTTTGGGGTCGCTCTGGCCGCCCAGGAGCCGAATCTGTCTCACGCGGCTCAAGATCTCGGGCACCTTCCCGGGGGCGATCCTCAAGGCGTTGGCCCTCTCCAGCCGGACCGGGCGCTCGGATGTGCCTCGCAAGCCTCGAGTCAGATCCAGCTGCTTCTCCAAGTTGAGGTTCTTCAGCTCGATCATCTCCTGGCTCGTGGACCGGTTCATGGCTGTCAGCGAGAAGAGGGCCTGGAAACCGGCTCAGTGTCCCCATCAGAGTCTAAGGAACATCGCCGACCCGTCGGCGCTTTTCGGACTTTGCTGCCCCGGGCAAAAGAGCTCAAGCCCTTGTTCCATGTTTCTGTCTCAAAATTTCCCCCTTCTCTTGTCTTCGCCTCTCTCCCCCTCAGAAGAGTCGCAGGCGATATTTGGTGGGAAGATTAGAGTTCAGTGGCGCTTCCCCCGCCCCACCCCCGTCCTTCTTGGAACAAGCCGGCAGCTTTCTTGACTTTTCAGCTTCGGCCTTCTTGACGCGAATCACGCGCTGTCAGAAAGGAAGGTAGTGGGGGTCACATTCCTCCGAGGTGCGCCTGAAAAGTGCTGCTCTCACTGCTTTTTTGGCGCACAAACAAGCAAAGGAAAAGTCCCAGCTTCCCTCCTCTTCATTCATGTTTCTTCCCTCACGGGGTGTGGGGGGGAGACAGCCAAGGCGGTGCCTCGCCTTGTACGCTTGGGGGCTGTCGCCTCCACCCCTCCCCACACTTCCCGCCTTAAGGCACCTTCAGAGCAACAGAGGAACCGCGGGTACATCCCCCTCCTCCGCGCAAGTTTAAAGAAAGTGATGGCGCTCAGCGCAGCGCCTCCGGGACAACTGTGTGGTATTGTTAGGAAGACATGCCGACGAACTGAAAGGGCGGGCGCGGAGATATGGGGCGGCACTTTTACTGCTTTGAAAGATGCCAGAAAGAAAGGCAGTTCCCCAGGAAAAGCGCGCTGTCTGAAGCTTTCCATTACCCCATAAAGGGTGATTGGCCAGGGGTCGTACCGCGCCAGGGTTTTTGCTTCAGGCCTCCTACGGGTGGGGCCGAGCGAACATGCACAGCGCCCCTGGCCGCCTATCCCGTCTGTCCTTCTGCTCGCACAGCGAGGCTCTTTGGCTCACCCTTTATAGCCGTTTCTATAGCAATGCAAGCAACCGCAGCGCTTCAAGAGGCCAGAGTCTTACGTCAAGTTTAGGGGAGAAGGAGTGTGCAGAGTGAGCCCGCAGCACCGCCCTGAGATGCAACTTGGGGGAGGCGATAGGCAGTTGCCAGGCTGGGCAGGGAGACGCAGTATATTAATTTAAACCGTTGTTTGTCTTTTTAAGATCCAGGAGGGCAGCCGTGTTGGTCTGAAGCAGTAGAACAGTTTTCTTAATCTGAGGAAGTGTGCATGCACACAAAAACTCATACCTTGAATAAAACTTTGTTGCTCTTAAAGGTGCCAGTGGACTCTGTCTTATTAAAGTTTACCATTACCTTCTCTTGGGAGCGCTCATGCCTATAAGCACTGCATGACAGGTTTTTGGGGAAACTTGGTTGAATTGCTCCATTTCCAGCAGCTCCAAAAGGACAGTTTCCTTGGTAGAAAAACATGGTGCCCTTACTTCTGGTACAACTGAAGCAGGTTAGAAAGCCTTATAGATACAGATACAGTTGCCAACTGCATAGATAAATAAAACCTTGTTTCTTGTTGTTCAGTCGCACAGTCGAGTCCAACTCTTCGCGACCCCATGGAGGCTTAACGGAAGGTTATATACCTAGCAGTGTTCCCTCTAAGCTAAGTTAATGTGAGCTAGCTCACAGTTTTTTAGGCTCTGGCTCACACATTTTTGTCGTAGCTCAGGAAGGATGGCTCCAGAGCAAACCGACTGATGCAGCAGGCAAATGGCTCACTCACAACTTTAATGCCAGTAGCTCACAAAGTAGAATTTTTCCTCACCAGACTCCACAGCGTAGAGGGAGCATTGATACCAAGTGATATTATTTACTTCCTTGTGCCATTAAATGCTTCACTTTCTAATTTCCACACATCAAGCCTCTGTTAAAGGGACAGGATATCTTCAGGCTTGTGGGCAACCTTCATTGTAAATCCTAACCATTACACCACATTGGGTTTTGTGAGGTGGCTGCTGTTGAACACTAGCAAGTATCCAGTCCTTGGTAAGTCATGCAAGTCAGGGGGTAGAAAGTTGCTTAGTGGTTGTTGCCTGGCCTTTTTCTGATGAGTCCTCCATCAAAGTCTAAAATATCCCTGAAAAGGATCCTACCCTCCTCCTGCCTTTTACTGAAAGATACCAAACCATAAAGGCTGGCAAGACAGTTGTGGTTGCCTAGTGACGACCACTTGAAGGCATTAGTTTCTTAAAGCTACAGGCTTCTACCATGGAGGTGTTAACCCCCCCAGGTTTTGTTTTTAATTTCAGATTTTTCTGCAAACCTGGGGCTTTTTTCAAGTTTGGCTTGAATTGACTCCCAGGTGAATGTGTATAGGGTTGTGAACCAGTCTGCTTTAGCATAAGTTAATGGGAGTTTTGCGGCATCTTAAAGACTGACAAGAGATCAAATTGCCAACATTCGCTGGATTATAGAGAAAGCAAGAGAGTACCAGAAAAATATCTACTTCTGCTTCATTGACTATGCTAAAGCTTTTGACTGTGTGGATCACAACAAACTATGGCAGGTCCTTAAAGAGATGGGAGTACCAGACCACCTCACATGTCTCTTGAGAAACCTGTATAAGGGCCAAGAAGCAACAGTTAGAACCGGATATGGAACAACTGATTGGTTCAGCATAGGAAAAGGAGTACGACAAGGATGTATATTGTCACCTTGCTTATTTAATATATATGCAGAGTACATCATGCGAAATGCTGGCCTGGATGAATCACAAGCGGGAATTAAGATTGCTGGGGAAAAGATCAACAACCTCAGATATGCAGACGATACCACTCTAATGACAGAAAGTGAAGAGGACCTAAAGAGCCTCCTGCTCAGGGTAAAAGAGGAGAGCGCAAAAGTGGGCTTGAAGCTCAACATAAAAAAAACTAAGATCATGGCATCCAGCCCCATCACTCCTTGGCAAATAGAAGGGGAAGTCGTGGAAGTAGTGACAGACTTCACGTTCCTGGGATCCCAGATCACCGCAGACTGTGACAGCAGCAATGAAATTAAAAGACGCCTGCTCCTTGGGAGGAAAGCGATGGCGAACCTAAACAGCATGATAAAAAGTAGAGACATCACCCTGCCAACAAAAGTCCGCATGGTCAAAGCAATGGTATTCTCAGTAGTCATGTATGGCTGCGAGAGTTGGACTATAAGGAAGGCCGAGCGCCGAAGAATAGATTCTTTTGAACTATGGTGCTGGAGAAGACTCTTGAGAGTCCCTTGGACTGCAAGAAGATCAAATCAGTCAATCCTAAAAGAAATCAACCCTGACTGTTCCCTGGAAGGCCAGATAATGAAACTGAAGCTCAAATACTTTGGCCACCAAATGAGAAGGGAGCACTCACTGGAGAAGACCATGATGCTGGGAAAGATTAAAGGTCAAAGAAGACGGGGATGGCAAAGGATGAGATGGTTAGGCATTGTCATCGATGCAACGAACATGAAATTGAGCCAACTTCAGAGGACGGGGGAAGACAGGAGGGCCTGGCGGGAGCTGGTCCATGGGGTCGCGAAGAGTCGGACTCGACTGTGCGACTGAACAATAAAAAAGACTGACTTTTCCACCAGCATAAATTTTTGTGGATTATAGCACATTCCTGGCTGTAGTCCACAAATGTTTTATGCTAGAATAAAATTTTGTTAGTGGTTAAACTCCTGATAAGGAGCTGCGGTGGCTCAAGTGGTTAAGACACTGAACTGCAGGCTGTGGAAGGTCAGTAGTTCAGCAGTTCAAGACCCGGGTGCCGCAAGATGGGGTGAGCTCCTGTCTCTAGTTCCAGCTCCTGCCAACCTAGCAGTTCGAAAGCAAGAAATTGCAAGTAAATAAATAGGTACCACGTCAGTGGGAAGGTAACAGCGTTCCGTGCGCCTTGGTGTTTAGTCATGCCGGCCACATGACCACAGAAACGTGTTCGGACAGCGCTGGCTCTTCGGCTTTGAAATGGAGATGAGCACTGCAACCCTAGAGTCGGATTTGACTGGCTTTCGAGCAAGGGAACCTTTACCTTTACTTTAAACTCCTGATAATTTTTAATTGGGAAGACAGTTTTAACATATGACAAAGGCAGCTTTAAGCCTCCAATCTCTCTAACATAACATAGTACATCCTCTCTAGTTTGAATCTCTCTAACACAGTATAGCATATCCTCTCCTATTATTCTTAGTTAAATAGATCAATACTAAAGACCTCTAGGTCAGATGAGTGGAGAAAGAAAGAAATCTCTTTTATTCCTGCAGTGTGTGAATGTTGTGATGCCTGAAGTGCATTACATTAAAAATTACTGCATTAAAAATTACTCAGAAAATCACAATAATCTGAATTATCTTTGTGGCTCTTTTTAAATTATCTTCTTAAATTAAATCTCTTATATTGGGAAGAGTAGTTTTTTACTTACTTGTACTTCTGAATGTCTTCACATTAGATATACAGTTTTTCTGATATCTAATAGCTTTGAACACTGCTAAATGATTAAAGTTTACATACTCACCCTGCAATGCTATGGGGAGTTACTCCAGTTTAAACCTATTGATAATGCAGCCACATACAAGAACCACTTACAAGGGTCACATTTTCTGTATTCAGTATATACAAGGGGGGACCCGCGATACTCGCGGGGGGCCAGTCTCTCTCTTTCCCCCATTCTCTCTCTTCCCCCCAGTCTCTGTCTCTCTCTCTCCCCCGTTCTCTCTCTCCCCCCTTCTCTCTCTCCCCCCCCTTCTCTCTCTTCCGCTCTCTCTCTCCCTCTCTCTCTCTATCTGGCACCATACATCTAATACCTTGGGAGCAATCAGACCGACGTACTGACTTAGTTGCCAGTTACCCCTCTCCGGTTCAGGGGAGGGAGTTGATTATCGAAGACTACAATTCCCAGAAGCTTCTGCTCCCCCCTTCCCTTCCCTTGGCCGCCGACCCCCTTCTCTCCCGGCCTCGCGCACGCGCCAAGCCGCCAAAACAGCCGCCGCCTCTGCATGATGCCCTGCCGGCCAAGCGCTTTCGACTCCAAAGCGGCGACGGCGAGGCCGGCAGCAGAGCGTTCTGTGCGCGTGCGCATGGAACGCTCTTGCACTTTTGGGGGGATTTAAACATCCCCCCGAAATTTTTTTCAACTT